CTTCCTGCTGGCCTGGGGAAAGAGCACAGCGTCAGCAGGCTCTGTTCAGGTGGGTCCCGAGGCTCCCTGCAGCCTGGGGCTGGCCCAGCCCCCCCCTCACAGTGGTGCCCAGAATGACAAAGCTCTGCGGGTCTCCGTGCTGCTGCTGGAAAGCCAGCATCTCCGGCAGGGGGAACTCTGAGCACACGTCTGCATTGAGGACGAAGAAGGCGTCCGGGCCACCCGACAGGATCTGGTCCCGGAAGTGATAGATGCCACCGCCTGTGCCCAGGGCTGCGTACTCCTGCAGATACCTGTAACACAAAGTAGGAACTTCTGAATGGTTTAACTGAATCCAGGGGGTGTGCCTCAGTTTCCCTTCTGCGCTACGCAAGTGTCTAGGGGTGGAGGGATCTGCGTGTGTGACCCTGCACAGACCCCAGGGCCCGTGTGGCTGCGACCGGCCGACACCCTGTCCTGGTGGCCGGACCCGACCCCTGCAAGGGGCCAGCTGGGGGGCTGGAGAGCAGACGGGTGACCCGTTTGCCGGGGCGGTGCGGGGGAAGGTGGGTCTAAGGCTGGCTGCCGGGCGGGGTCCGTCTCTGGGTTTGGGACAGGGGGGGGGCACCCGGAGGCCCCCCAGACGGGCCCCCTCCGCTCACAAGCTCCGTCCTACGCCGGGTCCCGTCTGCGGCAACGCTGGCTGGGGCAGGGCCCTTCGGGGGAGGCTTCCCCAGGGTCCCCCCAGGAGTCTCGCTGTGGGAGGGTCAGGGGGGCTCTGAGGTCAGAGCCAGGAGGCGCCGAAGCTGAGCAGGCTCCTTGCCCTGGTGCCCGGTGCCTGAGGGGAGAGGCTGCCCAGAGGCTGCCCCAGCGCCCTGCCCGAGCCCCCGCCTGGGAATCCATGAGAACCTTCCAGCCACGTCAGAGCACGGTGCCCACCCAGGAGCCTGGGGGGTTCCTGCCACAGCAACACCAGTGCAGCCTCGGGGGTAGGAAGGGGGCCCAGGGCAGCCGGCCCACGCCCCTCTCCTGGAGCACGGTCCCTGTGGCGGGGGGACGGGCCCTG